CAGAGCTTGCAGTGAGCCGAGATCATGCCACTCGCTGCACTGCAGGCTGGGCGACAGAGTGAGACTCCGTCTCAAAAAAAAAAAAAAAGAAAAAGAAAATGCTATGTACTATGAAAACTTAGCTGAAAGGGAAGAATCATTTTAGAAAGACATATTTAAAACACCGCACTGCTAATATATTGATCCTTTGTAGTTATTTCCTAAAATGCTGTTTTCGAAACATTCCTTTATCACCCTGTGTGGCTTCGACCTATCTCATAATCTGTTAATTGGAAAGAGGCTGCAAACACCAGTAGTGTGCATTCTGCAGGTACACGCTGCCGAAGAAATTTCCTGCTTATTCATGCCCCGTCTCTGTCTCCTTTAGAGTCATAACTTATTTAAGTATAGGATGCTTGATTTGGCTAGACTTTCTGAAAACACCAAGGTGGAGTATCAGAAGTGATTTTAGTCACAATTAGTTCTGTGGGAGAGCTTAGACAGAATAACATCCTCCTTTGGGAGGTGGTCTTGGGTGCGTGAATGTTGGTATACGGTCTTTATTTTAGGTCTGATACAAAACGCTAATAAATTTAATGTTTTTCTTCCTTAATTTATTGGCATAGTTCTTCAGGTAGCAGCTCATTTTTATTAATGATATTGGGATTAACTATGAACAAGCTATGTGTAGACATTTGCATTTAAGGACATTGCAGTGTTTCAAAGATCCCATCATTGCAGCTTGTATCCTTTAGATCCAGTCAGAAACTTCTGGTGTCTTACATTAATGCTCATTTGAGCTAATCAGTAATCTGTTTAAACAGATTTGGCAATACTTTAAAGGTATTGTAGACTATTTATTTATAGATCATATTACCCTTAAAGTCTTGGGGGGAAAAAGTTGTCTCATGTACTGAAAACTTTTTTTTAAAAAGGTGATGATGAAGTGCATTCTGTAGCAGCAGCGCAGCTGGGCTTTAAACCACACAGAAGGCTGTGTCCATGGGCAGCCTCCTTCACCCTTCCTGCCCCCGGTGAGGACTGGATAACCAGGACTTGGGGATATTCTTTGTTGTCAGGGTTATTCTATGTGGTAAAGAATATTTGGTTCACATTTATACATTTTCTTTTTCCACTCACATAAGTTTCTATCTTGAGAGCATAGTCCAAAGTGTAAAACTTGGTGTTTACGAGAATTGTCTTCCAGAACTCCACTGTCATCGCTTTCACCAAAGTGGAAGTCTGCATGAATATGCTCAGAATCTACTATTCAACATTCTGTTACGTTGTAAGTGAAGTCCACCTACAAAATAGATTTAATATATTGAATTTATTTGTACATATGCAGAGTATGGTATTCATGTATGGAATCTGCTTTATTCCTATTTTTCCAACTCTCATGAGTAGAATATTAAATGTGTTGTTATGGAAATGCAGAGTATTGCTTCTATAGGAAGATAATTATGAAAATAAAACCTGAAACTATGTGAATATGATTATTCTTTGTATTATTTATTTTATTTAGCTTGTTAATTTTCTTTTTTCCAGGGACACATTCTCTTAATTATATGACTTCAGCATTATTTTACAAGGACAGTATTTTGTTATCTGCAGTTGTCTTTTCTGCTCTTTGGGAGTAAGGTACCTTTGGGAAGGTAAAATACCAGTCATTCAGTTATTGTAATACTTTAATATACTGCTGTTTGGTGAGATGGAAGACTAATACATCTTCCAAGATTTGATTGGGTTAAGTGAGATAAAACCATATATGATTAGGAGGCTAAGAGAACTGATGTGAAATTGTTTACATAATTAGCACCTTAATTACTGGCAGATTTACTTACAATCAGACATTTATTGGATGCTAGCTATGTAATATTATCCCTGTCTTTCGTGGAATGGAAATTAATAATATAATTTGATACCTGGATTCAGGAGAAGTTGGAGTAAGAAAGAGTGCAGAAGGAGTGGCTGTCGGACATCGTGTGATTTTGTATTTCTTCCAGGACACCTTGGAGTGTCTTGAATGTGGTTTGTGATCACTGTTGTGTTTGTAGCAGCAAGAGGAGATCGCCAGGAAGGATAACCAAAGTCCACCTTCCGCTGTCACCCCCCGCATTGCTTTCATTCGACTCATCAAGAAAGGGTCAATAATGACTTTAATGTGATGAGTTAAATTTAAGGACATTAAAAACATCTTGTAAGTAAAAAGGACTGAGGCAAACACCAATTTTGAAAAAGGAAAACAAACTTTCCACTCGATTGTTTTTATTCTAACGAGGTTTTGTGCACAGAAACAACTTACATGGCTTTTAATTAATACTCAAGGACCCTGAATAAAATGCCGTCAGATAATTACCTCCACTTCACAAACTTGGCTTATTAGCTCCCACAGAGTTACATTACCTTTACAGGTTTTTTTAATATCTGACTCTCTTAAATTTTTCAAGGGGCCTAATTTAAACAGCCTTAAAACTTTAAAAAATTTTTCTAAGTACTGAAGTAATCCTTATAAAGCTAGTAAATCCAACATTACACATACGGTAATTTGAGCTTTCAGATTTTCAAATACTGTTTGTGAAAAATTCTCAATCACAAACATTGAAAATCAAAAGGGGAATATGTAAGATTTTGTTAAATATTTTAAGAACCTTAAATGTAAACCTGCACAGATTATCATAACGATCATAAAATTTATTCCTGAACATAACTATAAAGTATTATCACTAAAGTTGACTTTATCAATATGAAATACTTATTTCTCTACTTAACCCAGGGTAAATCATTTAATTTAGCCAAAGAAGAACAAATTTGCCTTCTTGGGAGGGCCAAAATGCTGTTGGGCCCACAGCACAGTTGGAATGCAAAGACTGAGATGTGTGCTGTGAGTGCTAAGTTCTTGCAGGAGATTCTGTGCATACGCAGGTGAGCATGGTCGGCCTTCTTTTTCACTTTAGTTTTTGTACCATGTCAGTGGGGCACACCAGGACGTGCCTTTCAGCTTCGAGTTCAGTTCACAAAGCAGTGGACCATGGCATTTTAAAGTCTTCATCCTTGGGTTTATTATTACGGTTTTTTGTAACCTACTTTAACATTTTGTAGTGAGATTTGGATAGAAAGAATTCTGCACCTACAATCAGGTGGAAGGCACTATCTTCCCCTACTTGATTTGGATTGAAGTATCTTTATTACTGTTCAGTTGGTTCCCATGTCTTTTCATATTTCATGGATTTTAGGCCACAATTTAGTAGTCATACTGATAAATTCATAATTCAGTAGGCTTTATATTGATAAACTTAATGGAACAATCACCACTATAGATACGATGGCCTCATTACAGGGAAGGTATGACTTCATAAAAAGTTGATCGGTCAGGATGGGACTGTGTTATGCTGCAGTAATAAGCCTCAGATCTCTGGTTTAACATGACAAAGGCTCATTTCCATTCATGCCAGGTGTCCACACAGGTCAGCTCTGCCCCATGTCTGCTGCTCTCAGGGCAGAACAAGGGACCACAGATCCCAGTGATAAGAGAAAGGAACTCAAGATGGTCTTGTACCATCAATGTGCTGCTCATCCCAGAAGTGAGACACCTGACCTATAGTCATTCACCACATCATAAAGGGGCCAGAGCCTTTGGGGGCCTGTGGACCAGGAGGGAGAGGAGAACCACCAGCTATGCTAGGGATTATACAATCTGCTTATATCTTAAAGCATTTGAGGTCAATCAGAAGTTATTTTGATTAACTTTTTCTAATTCTCATTGTAGAATTTTAGTGGAAAACCATATAGTCACTCCTACAGCAGTCACTGTTACCCTGTCACACACATTCAGGTGGCTTCACCATATTATTACATGTAGCCCTGACAGTCATTCTCTTACCCTCGTTTTTCAGGTGAGTAAACAAACTCAGAGGAATTAATTTACTCTGAATGTTTTTGATGTTAATATTCCTAACAGGAGATACTGTTTAAACTGGCTTCTTGGTTTTCTGTCATTTATGTGAAATGAAAAACAACAGTAGGCCAACTTGGAGTTTGAGCTTTCAATTTGATGTTTAAATAGGAATGTGAGCAATTGGTTGTTAAAAATTAAGCAGCGTGGTTCGGACTGGCTGGCTTCCTAGCTCAGATGCTATGGCTTTCATCCTGGGTAATCTCAGGTCTCAGATTTTCCTGCACTAAGGAGTGGGAACATCCAGGAAGATTGAAATCAGGGTCTCTGTCACTGAGATTTCTTCCTCCCTTTGTTTTTTCGTGTCTCATACTTAAAATTTTTCTGTCAAATCGCAACATTTCTCTTAATCCTGATCCAAGTAGTAAACCGTATTGTGGGGAACATCAGGTGCAGTGCCTGGCTGGCTGGGGAGCATCCTTGCAGAAGTGGCATCGTTAAGTGAAGGTTCAGGGCCTGAGCATGTAAAGAACAGCCCAGGATTTGGACATCACTTGACTCTTACTACACAATTTGTGGGGCTGAAACTGGGAAGTCCAGGGCAGAGAAAGAGGCAGGAAGCAGTTGGGGTGAGAAGCCCTTGACTCTGGGTCCTCTGTCCTGGCTTCTGCAGTCTTTCTGCTCTTGTCTGTCTGATGCAGTCACGTGCATACGCTGTTTCATTTGATCCACACCGTCCTGGCAGGAGTGCAGTTTATTTCATTACAGAGGGGCACAGAGAGTTTACCCCGCTGCTGAGTGGCCCCCCGTGCTGACGTGCATAGCCCCCGCACGTCCCACCATCTGATAGAGACACAAAGCGCTGGTTCAGATGGCCTGGTGCCTCCCCAGATCACTCAAGTTTTAGGCCACTGATTTGGGCCTCTGCTTACATTTTCAAAAAGCTGCTGTATTTATACATTCCCTTCATGGAAAAAAGCAATGATGAATGTGGTTCCTACTAGGAAAGCTATGGGATGTATTTTTCTAGCCCTGAAGTCTTGGGTATGGATGATAGAACTGATTGTAAATGGCTTAATAAATCAGGCAAAGTCTGTCTAAGCTAGGGTGTAATCTAAATATTTCTAGTTTTCTTCAGTAACATTTGGTTATTGGAGACATCATGGTATTTTCATGCTTTAATAATATGTTTAACTGTAAAAAACAAAAACAACAAAAAACCAACCCGGCTTTCCACAGTTGCTGTGTATGGAAAGGAAAATCTGGAGACCCGAGGACTCACTATGCCTAGGGGGAAAGGCAAGCTCGGAAGCTGAGTCACACAGAACACCTGCCTTTTGTTCCTCAACAAAACAGCTAGCGATAGAAGGCAGGGTCTCCCCAGGTGGCCTCTGTCACCCAGATACTGTAAATTAACAGCTCATCTTCCTGGTGAGGGATGAGAGGAGAGGAAAAATACCATCTCCCCCATGTAACCCACTGTTCCTCTTCCCCCTCCTCACGCTCAGTATGTGGATGAATGAGCTCTAATCAAGGATGTGACCATACCCTCTTCTGTTTTCTTTCCTCTTTAAATACTGAAGTGCCCAAAATCGTTTTTGGAAAAAAGTGCAGACCACAGATCCTACCGTGGCTTGTGGTGGTCTCCCAGGCGCATCCTCAACCTTGGCAAAATAAATCACGCCAACTGAGACTGCCTCCGTCACTGGTTTCATGGTACTCTCCAGGCGTTGTCCTGGGACATCCTCCCAACCCTGTGAGGGAGGCAGCCAGGCCCCCAGTACAGACTTCACCCAACACCAACAGAGAGGTGACAGGGCCCTCTCAAGGCCACACAGCTGCCTGAACGTGAATCTGCGTCCTGACTTCTGGTCGGTCTGAGTGACGACAGTGATGCACTAGGACAAATGTGTTACTTTTTATCTGGGACTGGATCATAAAGGCACCAAAACATTTGATGACTCGTGTCCACAAGACACTC